TGAAGCGTTCCTAATTTTTTGTGCCCCCGCCTATCCCCCCCCCCCACCCCACCCCCAGATACCCCTTCATTTGTTCTTACTACCTTATATATTAATTTTGTTTAAATATTCTTATTTCTTATGCATATAAGCCTATGTGAATGCCAATATATTTTAGCATATTTATTATAATGGTGTTTAAATTAATTTTAAGTTATACTTTAATTACAAATAACTTTATTAAATAGCATACATTTAAAAAGTATCACCGATTATACAAAAACTTATTCAATGAGAATAAATGTAAAACATTTCTATTTGTATCGATGTCTCAGTCTATGCGTCGGGTTTTAACTTCGGCGACGACGACGACTCGGATGAGTTCACCGACACTGAGGACGAGGACGTGTTGGACGGCTCGCTCGAGACGGCGAACATCACCTGCAATGAGACGTTCACAGCGGACAGGGGATACATCAAAAGTCCCAACTACCCCAACCCCTACCCCAATAAGATCACCTGCGACTGGTCCATAACGGTGGCGGACGACATGCATGTCTTACTCACACTAAAGGATGTCCACATGAGAGCCTTTGACAAGATCTACGTGCACGATGGCCAGGGATTAAGCAGCAAAGTAATGACCTATTATAGGCGCTACCAGGGTAATAAGAATATCGTGTCGTCCACTAATCACATGTTTATCCGATTTATTGCGGACACACATTATTACACGAAAATGGGAACTCCTTTCGCCTTAAAATATTCAGCCGAGAAGTACGGTACGTATTGAGTGGTTATTATATTAAACCCTCTTATAGTGGACAGCCGTTTATAGTCAAAGTTTGCTAAAATTATTCATTTTTTACATTAGGCTGCGATTTAGTGTTGAATGAGACCCAGGGTGTGATCCACAGCCCGGGCTACCCGTCCGGCTATTCCGAGAATATGGTGTGCGAGTGGACCATATCGGTGGCCAACGACCAGAATATAATTGTCATGTTTGACGACTTCCAGACAGCCCTGGACTTGGATTTCCTCTATTTCCTCAACCATAACAAGAAGATCAGTGGAGACGTCATTCCCTCTAACTTCATGTCCCACTCCAATAAACTTCGCATACGGTTTACCACCCATTCCCAGATCAATCGTATTATGAACCGGGGGTTTAAATTTTATTACAAGACTAAAGAGTGGGGTAAGTGTGTCTGACTCTCCCCCCCCCCCCCCCAAATCATCGGATCCATCCGTCTGTGTCTCCGAGTCTTTGGACGTATTTGTGGTAACTTTGGGCGACTTTTGCGGACAATCGTTGCCATCGTCCTCCAAATCGATGATATCTATTGAAGACATTGTTTTTCGACACTAATTGTGGTGTAAATTGTGAGACAAAAACATTTCGCAAATGAGTGATGACTTCAAAACACACAACAAATTGTCAACAATTGAGTCGATGTTGCCTTAGAAACAGTAAACACTACTTGCAATGCAAACCATACATAATGTTATTCAATATGATTTGATATACAGTAAAGTTTTTTTTGTGATCACTTTTTTATTTCTTTTGATTAAAAGTTATATTAAATTCAGATTTATTTTAAACTTATAAACTTTTTATAAGATTTTATTTTTGAAATAAAATTATTGGGTTTTGCAAAATAAGTACATTTTTCATGATAATTAACATAAGCGATAATTAACATAACATAACATTTATGATTCCGTATGAAAATAGTTTATAACTTACTTGTTAGTCATAGACCTAAATGTATACGGGTAATTTTTTAAAATTTGTAATTAAAAAATATTTTTGGTACCTAGTTTACAAATTTTCATTTAAAAAATGAAGCATACATTTAATCTACTTAATATTTTGAGACATAAAATGTGTATCGAGAATTCCACTATTGTATCTAGCTTATTCTTGAAGCACATAATACTTTTTAGTTTAAAAGTAATGCTTTATTTGTAGTTTAAACAAACAAAGTCTTATAACAAGTATGCAAATTAAAGCATAATTAAAAAATCATTTGTGAGATACTGTGCACACATGGGTAGGTATGGCGTGGAAATGAACGGTGATGTCAATCACTGCAATCACAGTCGCATCCATCGCAACACCCGTCCCCACAACAGTCACAACAGTGACAATCGGGACAACAGTCCGGACAGCCCTCCCGACAACAACAGGGGTCGCATAGACCGCAACGTTTGCACTGATGGCACGTCATCCGAGTGAACAGTTCGCACCACAACAACTCACAACACCACTCCTTCCAGTCCTCTCGGGTACAGCACGAGTCATCATAACGGTTACGGCGCTGATCTCCCTGTCCTCTCTGTCCCTCCTGTCCATCACCGTTGAAATCAGTGTTAAATTGATTGGCGATCGGCTGTTGTGTCACAATATTGTCGCCATTTATGGCGCTATTATCTCGTTGTCCGCCAAATATCATACCTTCCCTCCCGTATATGTTAGGGTTAGCCATCGTTTTTGCTGGATACTTTTTCACAAACAATTATAACACATGTTTTGAATTAATACTGTAATTAATGAATGTGGTCAAGATAATAAAAGATCAATTTAATCAATATACTGACGAGTGAATAATTTGTTCAGGGAAACATAGTTTTGTTCACTTGTCTACACATTATATACTGTAACCAGGGCAAATTGAAAGTATTTGCTTCAATATAAGTTATAATTAAAGATATTTTATTGTTTATTATTTAACAAATTAATTACATAGCAATTATCGCAACATTATAAATATTTGTGATAATAAAATATGAAACTTTTAATAATTTATTGACCCTAATGTATAATTTCTAATAACTTTACATAAAGCACTTGTAGTTATTATTTGCCACTTAAATATCATATGTAACTTCAAATATATAAATGTATCAAATGTGATAATCGGAAATTATGATTGCACTCGACTCTGTGCAGCGTTTCATAGATTAGTTTTGAAAAATTAAAATTTCTAATCATCAGTCAACAGCGAGTCAATGAGTCTCAACACACACATTAAAAAGTTACATAACTTTGGCATCACTACATGCCAAACAACACCGAACACAGGTAGTGCCGCAAGAGTCATCATTGCGACTGCGATGTTGATCTCCCTGTCCGTCATCTCCATGTCCTCCCTGTCTTCCATGTCTTCCATGTCCTCCATGTCCTCCATGTCCTCCCTGTCCTCCATGTCCTCCATGTCCTTCATGTCCTCCCTGACCATCACCGTTGAAATCAGTGTTAAGTTGATTGGCTATCGGCTGTTGTGTCACAATATTATCACCATTTGTGTCACTATTATCTCGTTGTCTATCAGTAATCAATGATAACTTAATAACTTGATAACTTATCATACAGTGATTCACAAATATTACTGTTACAGTGCGCTATCATAAAACGTATGATAAACATAAAACGATAGCTACAATAAAACGTGTGATAAACACAGCATTATATAACAACACAAATGATGTTACCAAATGCCATAACCTTGGAACTCGCTTATATTGTCCAACATCCTTTTAAACACAATAAAGTTAATTAATGGATATAATAATTAAAAATTAATCAAATTGAGAATGTATACGAATTCATGTGCAATTCATAATAACAGCATATTTCTAAAAACAACATCTAACATATAACTTGTCTATAAATTCAGAAGTTGGAAATAGTTTTAATATATAATTTGTTCGTAGATTTAGATATGAGTAGTAAATGAATAGTAATGCTAATCATTCAATCACTGCAATCACAGTCACAATCATCGCAACACCCGTCCCCACAACAGCCCTCACAACCGTTACAATCGCAGTGACAGTCGGGACAGCCCTTCCTATAACAAAAGCACGGGTCCCATAGATCACACACTTTGCAGTTCCAGTGCAGACATAGTTCACACCATATCTCACAACATGTGTCACAACACTCATCACAAGAGTCGTCATTACGCTTACGGCGCTGATCTCCATGTCCTCCCTGTCCCTCCTGTCCATCACCACTGAAATTAGTGTTAAATTGATTGGCGATCGGCTGTTGTGTCACTATATTGTCGGCATTTGTGTCACTATTATCTCGTTGTCCATCAGTTATCATAATTTCCATCTCGCGAGGACTGGGGTTAGCCATAATTTTTTGCACAAAACTTTTGTGTCTAACACTTATGAACGCAACTTAACTAAATATTACTTGTGAAGCAATACAGCACTTTTATATAATTTCCAGGATCATTCAGATTAATTTAATCAATACATAAAGTAATGAGGATATTTTATTAAGTATTTTGCATTGTGTTACAAAATATTAGAAACAATTTGCTCAGTTGGTTACACAGTAATCACTGATATTGGTGATCCACATTTAGTGCTCATTAAATTCATTGGTAACATTATTTTTAATTTATTACAAACTATCATTGAAAATATACATGTCTACTAAATAAATGTTGATTTACAAATATCAAGGATAAATAGAAAATAGTAATACAGTATAATAATTGCTAATTAAACCTGAACTTAAAAAGTTAAAAATATAGAATATTTTTGAACTGTAAGTGCTCTGTACAAAAATAAAAATATTGTACTATATATGGCGTGATACTTTAATCTTGCTAAAATATAAAATTGAGAGGAGGGAGGGAGGGAGGGAGAGAGAGAGAGAGAGAGAGATAATTGGAAATTGGAGTACATATATATCAGGTACAGTACGATAAATACATTAATATATCAATTAAAACTGAGTTACAGAATATATTTATAATTTGTATGTTATATCTTATATTAAATGTTTAAATAGCATGAATAATATAATATAATAGTATAAAAGTTACAAATTATTAGCGAGACTCGATTGAGAATGATACATCAATGTCCTCCTCACTGTCCAACAGATTTTCACTGGACTTCATCACATCCCTGGTCTTTGAGTGTCCATTCATTAAGCCGGACATCTGGACGGGATTATCGCTCATTAAATATCTACGACTCTTAAGTCTGTATAAGTTTTAAGAAAATTAATTTCAAACTAATAACTATTAATATAAATAAAATAAAATAAATTACCTCCAAATATAACCAACAAGAATAATGTTTGTCACGAATAATATAAAAATAAATACAGAATTAATGACTGAATGTCTATCTATAGACTTATCCGCAATGGGATCACTCCATAGCTGCAAGGGATCGGGTAGGGAACTGTCCGGTACTAGACATCGGTAAGACTGGCCCGTAGGTAGGCATAGATGTAAACAGCCGTGCGATTCACAAACATTTGTCACATTTGGCTGTAATATTGGGTCTAAAATCTTGAATTTATTGATCTCTTGCCTATCGATGTCTACCGCGTTGTGTAACTGATAGTTAGTGGCGTTATATCTGTGGCTCTTATGTAGGATTTGTATGCTTTGTATCCGTAAATCAATTTCTGGTATCTTATAAATCATGTATTCATTCGCTAAATACAAGTCGCTATTCAAGACATACATGGAGTTCACGGAATCGAAGAACTCTTTGGACTTTGTGTATAGTCTCTCATCGGTTCCGTTGAAGTCGATTGAATACAAGTAGAAGTCGTTAATATCAATGAAATAATATCGTTGTGTCTGATAGTTAACTGTCAGATGAAACGCTTGTCTATTATTGTCGTAAAGAACCGATTGATTACTTCCGTCTAAATGTGTTTGCATTAGGTTTGCCTCAAACCCAATATTACTCCAAACGAGTACTCCTTTCACAACATTTATCACTAAATCTCGAGGATTTTCAGTCTTTATATCACAAA